TTGAAACCTGACGTGATACGGACTTTCAGAACGTTGTGGAACTTTGGACATGTTTTGAAAAAACGGGTTAAGAGGATGTGGTCGAACCAGAGAAAGGATAGTACTAAATAAGGGCGTAGTAACGACTGTATTGACGAAGCATTTGTGCAACGTCAACGAATTTCTCACTCTCCACGCTTGCAATATGGCCACGATACGTCTCTGTTCTTTAGATACTTACCATGTTTTTGTTTCGTTTGCAGCAGGTTATCACAGCGTGTATGCCACGTCCAAACCATTGAGGAAACATTTTGGTTCGAATTCCAATTCCTCCATCACTACTGTTTCGAGCACCATTTGCTTTGAACATGCAGAATCGAGAACGTCTTCTACAATTTGAATCGTATCAAGGACAATAGGTCAAGGTTGGTGCCAGAACTATTGAGACTGTTCTAGCTGTTAAAAACCTAGGAGTATACTTTGAGAAACAAGTGAACGCTATTGCCAAATCCTGTTACCACCAGATCAGGAACATCGGCTGTATTCGGCACTTTCTAACTGCAGAACAATCAAGATTTTGGTGCATTCACTTGTTACCTCTCTGTTGGATTATGGTAACGCCCTGCTCTGTGGTATATCTGACAAACTAACTAGTCGTCTGCAGAGGGTCCAGAACATTGCAGCATGGCTAGTTACTCGTACTCGAAAGAGAGAGCACATCACACCGTTCGCTTTATTTGTTGCACTGGTTACCTGTACGATACAGGTCGCAGTACAAAAGTCTGGTGTACAAATACAAGGCACTGAATGGAACAGCTCCTGCGTACCTACAGGAGCTTGTTACCCTGTATCAGCCGTCAAGATCACTGCGGTCGGAGTTGTTGTGTGTCCCAAAATCTCGTACTGTGACCTACAGAAACAGATGCTTAGGGAGGGTTTCGGCTACGTTGTGGAATAGCTTACCATCTGCTATGAGGAAGTCAAATACCCTGGCCAAGTTCAAGAGGGACATAAAACTCACCTCTTCACGTCTGCATTTTAGAATCTTTGCAAAGACGTCATGTAAATACCACCCTTTTATTTGTTCAATTATGTGCACATTGCTTGTTAAATCTATGAAAGTGATTGCAAGCCTTTGTTGTTTGTTTTCACAACTATAACCATTACTATTATCCATATTGTAAAGCGCCTTAGAGTAAATTTACAAATTATATAGGGCGCTATATAAATGTTGTATATTATTATTATTATTATTATTATTAATAGGCTCTGGTTAATCCACAAATTGCATTTGTGTTGGTAGGATTAAAAGACGACACATATTTTGTGTCTTTCGCTTTCTGCCTAAAGAAAACCATTTTGCACTTATAAGGAGCGGACAAGTAAAATGAGAACGTGGTAACCGCGTGGCATGTTCTGAATCGACGTAGCAAAAGCGCAATGGACGTAGTGTGCGCATTATCATGCGCTTGGTGAGAAATAAGTAAAAACCTGTCAGATCCAGTGAGAACCAGGCAGTGACGAAGTATGTACGTAAGCAGTTTAAACGAGATACTTGTTCAATTTTGACAACGTCCCCGCAGCGTTCATCGACATTTTCAGGACGCAGTGCGGTCTTTGGGAAGTTAATCTGACCATGAAGGAGACTAACACGAGAACATTCCGACGGATTAGTTTGTCGCCAGGCTTTGCTCTCGCTATATCGAGCTCTTGCGTTTAAGAAACTAAATCGACAAGGCACAAAAATGATTTTACAAAACCAGACATGTACATACAGTTCCCATAGCCATGGCATGTTTGTCCCTGAGGGCCTCTGATCCACATACCATGACTTGATTTCTACTTACTTTTGTATATTTCTATAGGATTTATAAATTACTATGTCTTAGGTCGATAGTAACTGCTTGACTGTCCAGATTTCAGGGAAGGCTTAGCAGGAATAGCTTACCGATCGAAAGTTGAAAGGGCCACGTTTCCCTTCATTTTAACGGGAGGGTTCATGGTTTCTTAAATTTTGGTTTCGTCGTCCTTTGTTCCTGTTATTGTGCTTTTATCGACTCTCAATGTTCAAATATGCTGACTATGTTGAACTTTTGTTCTTTTTCCTTTTTTGCTCTGTTAGATTTTTCATTTTAAAAGTTTGGCATAGCCACTCTCCTTCCTTTTACTTTCATATTATTAGAATTTGTTGCTGATGATGTGAGTTCACGTAAGATAAAGATAAGATATCACCTCTAAAATTTGTTCATAGATATAACATTCCAATAACGAATCACATTGCCCAATACAGCTTTTCGCCTTTCTATGACTCATCTAAGATGCAATTGGTAATGCAATATAAGGAATAAAAAAAAAATCGACCGGAATAAAGTAAACGTTGTATAACCAGACACGAGAATGCGACGTAAAAATAAATCAATAAAAAATAACCAAACAAATAAATAAAAATTTCGTTGAAAACAGCTGTATTCTACGGTCCGTTGCATATAGGAAAAGAACATAATACTTTTCACTATTGGCACACAAACATTGATTTAAACATCTAGCCTCGAGTCCGTCTAGAGTTCGCAGGACCCCGGATTGGTATCTCGGTCTGGTCGTTGCATTTTTTGTTTTTTTCTTTTGCAGATGGTATTGGCTGATATTTTCATGCGTACAAAGACACCTCTTGTTCAAGTAGGGGCTATAAACGCCGCCTGATACCAAAACAATATTTGTTCGGCCAGTGCTGATTCCTCACCTCCGGGTGGGTGAAGGGGGCAATCGGGGATGCGGCATGCGCAGGATAACGCACCATGTCATACGTCCAGAGCCTGTCAGCAGCTTATGGCTAACGACAATATGCGACTTCGTGGCCAGCATGTATTCCAGTCATTGATCTGTTCGAGCATGTGTGGAATCTATTGAAACGGCGTGTTCGAGCTCGGGGACAACAGTCCCACATCATTACTTTGCACCATGAACTTATTCGAGGATGACAAATATCGGTCAGCAAGAGTTTCAGACGGACGTGATCTCAATACGGAGCAGGTACCGGGCGGTGTTACTAGCAAGAGGAGGCCGCACGAGATATAAGAGGATGTTATTGGAGGAAGTACAAGAAATGTGACTTTTCAGAAAGAGCGTAGCACCGTCATGAACTGTCCAAAAGGTTATGCTACCGATTTTTAATTATTGTTATCAAATTGCACACATGTCGTAGACTAATGGTATGACGTCGACAACGGTGAGTTAACGGTGAGTTATTATGTTTTAAGGTTCAGTCCATAACATTAACTGACCCGTTAAATCCTTTTTACAATTTGTCATTGCAAATAAGTGAGGAATTATCTAGGCTTTGACAGTTCTCATACTCTTTAGATTTATAGAAGAAATAACTGAAATGATGGTGACAAAATACTTATCATAAATTACAAAGTATAAATCAAACCGCCTCCTTTTTTTTGTACACTATATCCTCTATGTTACTTTATGTATGGGAGTTACCTCCCCTGCATCATATTTATAATGTAACCTCTCAGTTTTACCGATTCTGCACGACAACTTTTTTATAATTTTTATATCAATTTTTCCTTTCCTTTTCTTTTCTTTATTTCTTTTCTTCTGCTATAAAACAATACAACACTGTACAATTTTGATGTATTTTATTTTGTTACATTCTCTTCTGGTTACATTGTTAATGTATATGTAGCTTTACAATTCGATATTCAGAGGAACCAATTTTGTCGAATGTTTAAAATACAGTTTGACAAATAAATATGTTATTTCTTATATGATATATTGCTCAAGACTTTTTTTAAAACACTTAAAAGGGTACATTTATACAAATAAAGTAAAATAAGGTATCAGAATTAAGTACAATACAAAGAGGATGTAAGAACACTACCAGAATAAACCGGAAGTATGATCCAAGGAGTAACATGCCAAGTCTGTGTATTTTATGCTTATTACAGATATATGCTTGTCTAAAAGACAAACAGGACGTGTCACATATACAATGCCTGGTGCAAAGATTTACTGATATCCAGCAGCCGATAGATCGTATAAGCGTCGTTGTATTGTGAAAATGATAGAGTCTACTGTACTCTTTTGTAATACATATTTTTACATGAAGTTGTTTTAGTTTCAAGGCGATAAATGTTGATGTAGCAATATTTATTTTGACTGCGATCAACTGGGTTTATTTAAGGGGAGGCAACTCGCACGACAATAGTTGAATAAAAAAATAAGGATTCGGGGAATTTCAAATGCCCAGTCCAGGTAATAAACATGTATGAATGTTTATATGAACAGCAGTTTTCTTTCTTTTTTATATATGCACTTATTAATAAATTCACAAAACTGACATAAAAACAAAAAAGTGACGTGAACGTGATTTTGGTTACATACATATTCCATGCATGAGGCCTACAAAAATGTAATTCAATATTTTAAAAGTGTAGTCATAAGTGACGTCGGCAAGAGGTTTTCAAATTGTTCAGGTATTGAAATAGTCTAACGTTACCTAAACGTTGAAGGAGAAGCGTCCAAATCATACTGACCTTTGTAAGGCGCTGATTATAACCGAAAGTTCTACTAATGCTGCAATTTTTCATATAGGGTTGGACTGCCCCAATGAAACTTAGTACAAACGGAATATCAGCTATATAAACTACCAAAGCTTCGAATACTACATTTAATTTCTGTTGCAGCCTTGTTGATGTAAACTACGATCTTAATTAAAATACATCAACTTTAGTTCACACATACTGCATTCAAAATATATAATTTTCATATTTTTTTTCAGTAGCGTTAGGGCCAAACGAAGTTTTTTTTTTATTTCGTTTTCTTCCCCGAGTATCGAAGTTTGGAGTAAGTATCTCGTAAACCTGAAATTAAAAACAAAATACAAATGTACTTTACTTATCCCAAATGCCTTTCGTTTGAAGCTCAGGCAGACTTAGACTTTCCCCATATCTTGTCGTTTTGTTTTCTTTAGAATTTAATTATTTTTAAAAGAAATTTCCTCACATTTCTGAAAAAACACAGATAGATAATGAAATATTTTCTTAAGAAATACACACAGGAAAGCAACAAACAAAAACAAAGGAAAGACCTTATCAAACTTATGCTTTGCTTATAATTTACTCAAAATCAAAACTAGCCTCTTGCGTTCAACGTTCATCAAACTGCCCTCTTTAACTCTCGAGCGGTTTCTGGCCGATAGTTAATGTCATATATGCGGGACACATTTGGTTGTTCGAAAGTTTTGACGATTAACATTCATCCCTTCGCTCCATCATGTTAAGTGTGTCTTTGTGAAGGCAACCGGGTGAGCCCAATGGGACCTCTTCGAATCTTACTGGCATAAGCATATTTTACTGTTGGTCATTGGACTGTGTAGTTATACCTAGAGAACTAGGATGACGTCACTGCTCAGACCTAAGCGACGCCATAGGTGTGCATGGCCATATCAGTCTGTTTTCCATATTCATGCGTGGTAAGGAAAACATGCTATACTGTACGCATGGTAAAATCGTCCACCAAGATGATGTGGTACCCTTCCAATTGTCGTCAAAGGTATACGCCGTTAGTTTACACAGACAAAAATATAAAGTAGCTTGTCCTCCCGCGCTCGAGTTTCTTATTCATATTTTCCATATATAGTGCCTTTCTAGGAAAATGAGAAAACTTAAGGCACCACAGCTGATTTCTAAGTAACTGACGCAGACGACAAGAATGGCACGTTAGCCTGATCATATATATTGCTGTGTTATTGTCATAATCATGTTATTTGATATGATTAAATGTCTATATCTCTTGTAATAGAGAAACACGATTCTTTTCGGGAAAATAAAGAAACATGTTTCCCTCAAACCAAGACAAAAAATGGTTAATATGACGTCATGAAGTAATATGATATGAGTTTGTTGACGTCACCGCTTCCTGCTTGGCGTTATTTCCTCATAATATTTGTCGTCCTCAGTCTGTGTAGCCATTTCATGCACTAACATGTTAACGTTTGGTGTGTAAGTTTTTACGTAACGAGTTTCTGTCACAGTGTACACTATTCCATCCTTAAATGTCTTCACGATGTACAATAGACCACATATCACCAACAGGAACCCTAAAACATACATGTTACAATGTTCAGTAGAGCATAGATCACATATCACCGACAGGAGTCCTGCAATATGCATGTCACAATGTATAATATAACCCCCGGCCCCTACAAAATCCTGAAAGATTACAGTGTAGAGCAGGCCCGCGGATGGGGGATATCCAATAAGTGCTATTTCGATTCATTTCTTTTCGACTAAAACCATTCTTATGCATGGTCTAAGAGCTTGATACTTTCTTAAATAACACGAAATTTGATATAAATATACGCATAGTACAATAAATGTGACGTCACACCACCTGCAGTAACATATTAAGGAAACTGAAATTATCAATGAATAAACCATAGCTTGTGATTGATAACATCTATACAAGTATGGGAGAAATATCTAGTAACGGGCGATCTTCTTACCACTAACAATCCCGAGGATATTCCGCATGCCTTCCATGAACACCGGAACAGCCAGAATTAGATAGACCACGCCCTTCTTCCAGTTGTCAATCCACATAATGACAGACCAGCAATGACAGCAGCAACCCTCTCGCCTGTGTGGAGGCAAAACGTCACTAGTGTTATAATCTTCGTCCCAGTTATTTATATAATTTTATTTTCGTTCAAAAACCTATAGTGTTTCTCGACAGTAGGAAATGGTGGTTTTAGTATATTACACAAATTAAAACACTGTTTAACGGCGAAATGTGACAAGAATGGCAGTGCCTAGATACTATTTTTTGGACCTGACACTTATATGAACTCGTAGTTTTAAAATCATTATGAAACAAGAAATGTCATTTCAAAACAGTAGAGAAAAGGACATCGGTGCGCGAGCATTGCACATATCTAGCATTGGTATATGAGACGGAAACATATGAAACGCTATCACGTCATTAGGAATGTGTTCAATATCCTAAACCCTTTATGATATTCGATAATATTAATAAAATAACAGTCGGTGACACACATACTTGCAACATGCGGCTTTGTTAATGATCCACGTCAGTTCCAGCAAGGTAACTACAACACTGGCCGCACTGAAGTAGATAAAGTTTACAATGGCAAAGATAGATAGATGCATGTACATTTTCGCAGTGTTAATGGACCATCATTACAGTAATTTCATACAGGGCCACACAGTAGATATGAAAGAGTAATAACGGCCCGTCAATATAATAAGGTCAACAGTATTAACGGCCCGTCAATATAATAAGGTCATACGGAGCCACACAGTAGATATGATACGGTATTAACGGCACGTCAACACAATAAGGTCATACAGGGCCACACAGTAGATATGATACAGTATTAACGGCCCGTCAATATGATAAGGTCATACAGGGTCACACAGTTGATATGATATATTATTAACGGCCCGTCGACACAATAAGGTCATACGGAGCCACACAGTAGATATGATACGGTATTAACGGCCCGTCAACACAATAATGTCAAACAGGACAACACAGTAGATACTGACAACCGGTAGATGTTCCAAAGGAGACACTGAAGCATAGAAGTTGGAGAAAGGGGAAGAGTGAAATAAAGATAAATATCCCTGTTGTTATTTATTGGTGCTTTATAAATTCAATATAGTATCTTCAATGGCACCCATTTTGCCGTAATTATTGTTAAACATCCAATTCTGCGCGCACACACAAACACAAGCACACACAAATGTATTATTTCATTTTGGTTGATAGATCATTGTATCAACTTCGTATAAAGTCAATAAGTGTAAAACGTTATATTAACTTACATGAGGTACCAGCCGAGATACAACTTCGGGTCCATGTCGGAGGGGTGCTGCATGGTAAAAACACCTGCTGTCCACATTACTACAAAACAAAATAGTCAGTTTATTAAAAAAAACACTCTCTAATATACAATGTTCATTCATAACACAACTAAAGAAAGTGTTATTGTGCCTATTTCACCGCCAAACAGTCGGTTCTATAGACGGCATATACACAGGGATACGAGAACTTATTACAGTTTTTTTTATGTCTAGGCCTATCACGAGGTCTTTAAAGTCATAATTGTATGGTTGAGATATTTACCGGGAGTTGCTCTAAAGCCCTAAAGCGTCTAAGATTGGTCATAGTTGCTGTACCAACTTTCAGGTCCTATTTGAGCATGGGCAGTTGCGTTTTGTTTTTTGTTTTTCTGTGTTCTTGCAACACCTCGTTAAGGTAAAAAGACGGTAACATTGTCGCTATGTAAAAGGAAAAGGGTTTCGGCAGTAGGGTAGGAGTGTACAACTTTTACAGGTACGCATGATTATAATACACACAATGTGCTGAAGGCAACCTCTAAATACAATGGTATACTAACTATACATATGAACCTTAACTCGGAAAAGAAAACATCAGTAATTATATTACATCGAAATACTATAAATACATTTATATCAAAATAGTTATTAATCAGTCGACACCCTAAACCACCATCACCCTACCGCAGGCCCCTGCTCTTATGATGAAACTTTTTTATGTGTTTTTGCTATAGTATAACATATTATTTGGCCTTTCTATATATGTATAAAGAGGTAAACACGGCTTGCCACTTCATAATCACTTGAACAACAATATCATCCATGCAAACACCTGTGCACCTTATCGCCATCCTAGCACCATCTACAACAGTTCATGAACTTAAAAGCTACATGTAGCAATGCCACAAGTAGAAGCCTTGCTCAAGTCCAATAATCTAAATAAGGTATAGGCCCATAGAGCTGCAAACATGATATGATACGTACCAGCAAGTGTCAGAATGGTCCATTGCCAGAAGACTGTGATACCGTACCGGCAAGTGTCAGAATGGCCCATAGCCAGAAGACTGTGATACGTACCAGCAAGTGTCAGAATGGCCCATAGCCAGAAGACTGTGATACCATAACGGCAAGTGTCAAAATGGCCCATAGCCAGAAGACTGTGATACCGTACCGGCAAGTGTCAGAATGGCCCATAGCCAGAAGACTGTGATACGTACCAGCAAGTGTCAGAATGGCCCATAGCCAGAAGACTGTGATACC